GGTATCGAAACCTGGATTCTAGTGTTGTAAGTCCGCAGTTTGACAACCTGATGATTGTTTATTTTTTAGGTTTATTCCCATTTAGTCTATTGCAAATGGGAGTAGACGAACTGGGATGTTACCGAACTTTTAGTGCAATAAATAAATGCCCCCCCCCCCAGTGGCACAGCGGTATGTTTTAAGCGAAATAATCAAACAAACCTCTTCAAAACTAGGCAGGTTTCCATGATCACAAGCAGGTGACTTTCCAGCTATCCGTATTTTCAAAACGGTGACGCCAGCGTCCTCTAGTGTTTGCTGTGCAACATTCAAGTCTGATTCCCGTGTTGCAGCGAGTCCTACTGTATCAAAGCCAGAAATCTTCACTACATCTGCAACGATCTGAAATGATATAATGCAACTCCTAGCCCTTAATATTTGTGATTTTTATCAAAGAAATAAAAAACAATAACATTAAGTTTTATGTGGGGAAAAATTAAGGTATGGAAGGGAACTCTCTCAAAAAAAGTGAATTACTGTCAAATGTTTTAATAATATAAATATATTAATATTAACCAGAGGATTATAGAAAATCGGTTTTTGAGTATAATTATATTTAGGTAAGTAATACGAATAATTAATATTCATTGCATTTAGTGTTAGCATTATAATTTATAGAATATGAAAACAACAGCAAAGTAGTCTCACACTGCATTGAACTTACGGTTTATTCCTATTTCATCTACTCCCGTTTAGTTTACTCTGATGTAATCATATGCCAAAATAAATGTTTTATAGTTTTTTCTGTAAAGAACTGGTATGCCACTTTATGAAATGAAAAACTTTAAAGCAGTATTGTAATTTCTTGAGAACAAGATAGGTTATTTATGTGATGTATTGTAGTGTATATATGTGTATGTACATAAAAAATATCGATGAATTAATGTTTTAAAAGCCTACTGTATCGTATTGTAAACGGTATAAATACAAAAATGCTTTGTTTCTAAAATTGTGCCAACCTGTGTATATCATTAGAATTATTAAGGTTCCTTGGAATTAAACGTTTTTGTGACTGCTAACATACTATAAGTGTTCTCATTTGAAAAATAACTTTAGATCTATTAATTCGCAAAAATTTAAGATTTTCAAAGCCTTTGAATTTCATGTTTTTTGTTGTGTTTTTTTTTGCATAGCGACTAAACAAGTCTTTCTATGTCAGAAACACAAACACTCGGCTTTGTTAATAAAAAAATAAATCTGAGAAATACGATAGTAGTCACTAAATATATAAGTGGTTACACCAGTGTGAGAGAAATTTTGGTAGTTACCAGTACATCAATGGTTATACCAGTGTTAAAGTGCTGTTGGTAGTTATCAGGACATGAGTGGTTATACCAGTGTTAAAGAGCTGTTGGTAATTACCAGGACACGAGTTGTTATACCAGAGTTAAAGAGCTGTTGGTAATTACCAGGACACGAGTTGTTATACCAGTGTTAAAGAGCTGTTGGTAATTACCAGGACACGAGTTGTTATACCAGTGTTCAAGAGCTGTTGGTAGTTACCAGGACACGAGTGGTTATACCAGTGTTAAAGAGCTGTTGGTAGTTACCAGGATACGAGTTGTTATACCAGTGTTAAAGAGCTGTTGATAGTTATCAGGACATGAGTGGTTATACCAGTGTTAAAGAGCTGTTGGTAGTTACCAGGACATGAGTGGTTATACCAGTGTTAAAGAGCTGTTGGTAATTACCAGGACACGAGTGGTTATACCAGTGTTAAAGAGCTGTAGCTAGTTACCAGAACACGAGTTGTTATACCAGTGTTAAAGAGCTGTTGGTAGTTACCAGGACACGAGTGGTTATACCAGTGATAAAGAGCTGTTGGTAGTTACCAGGACACGAGTGGTTATACCAGTGTTAAAGAGCTGTTGTAATTACCCAGGACACGAGTTGTTATACCAGTGTTAAAGAGCTGTTGGTAGTTATCAGGATATGAGTGGTTATGCCAGCGTGAAAGAACTGTTAAACCTATATGACAAAGGAGTTGTTGCTAGGATACTCATATATCTGATATTTTTGAGTTTATAATAAAAACTTTAAATATAAAATCTGTTGTAGCTTCTTCAAACACTTATGGGTAATACATTTGTAATACTTTGTGCTCTCAGTGGCTTATTATACAATTATAATTTTGTCTTTCGTGTTTAGACAACATGAAACAGGGCTTGTTTTAAAACCTTAATAAGAGACGTATTGAACGTGGCAGTGGGAAATAGTAGCGACATCTTTCAAAGTCACGAATAGTTATAGTACAAGACAAGCAGTATTTTCACTCAAACATGCTTCAACACTTCTTCAAACCTTTTGGTGAGCGGGAAAGTGCTACACCTTTTTTTCTTTGGAAAACCATTTCACGTACATTTTCCATAGTAAACGAGATGGTGGTCTATTGGTGTTCAGTTCCAGGTTCAAATTGTTAATTACAAGCGAATCTTTAATTCTGAAAGTTATTTCAAGACCACTTGACCTATTTTTCGTTTCGGATTATTCTTTGTTTCACACAAGAAAGAATCGGCATCCTATGTACACGCTGACGCTTCGGATTGATTAATTAATTGGTGCCAGTTTTACTAATGGATTACTGAGTTCCCGCTGCATAATACGTTACGTCACTGTCATAAAAGACAAGAAAAAACACCTTCTATTCACTAATAAAATTCACACAAGTGCATTGTTTTGCACCTGGGTCATAATTAAATCAGGGGCCTTAAAGACTTCGAATGAACACATGTCAATATTTTCTAAATGTTGGGTTTGTAAGTATATTAAACGTAAGAATTAAAATATGCGTCATGCATTAGGTTGAGAAGATTATAAACTATCTCAACATTTATTATTCGAATTTTACGATTCCCAGAATATTCCCATGAAACCTTCGAGTTCTTTTACTCAATTTTTGTCAAGAGGGTAGTGACCCGGTAACCCCCATTGTGATTTGATGTTATTAATTCTCTGCCTCAGCTACAATATTAAAAACAACACTGACCTTACCTGAATAAGTTTCTCGTCACGTGTGACAAGACTGTAGCTGCCTTGGTACTCTAGATCCAGTGTAGGGTATGTAGGTTAGACTGCTTGAAAAGATCTGGTGGGAATCTTTGTGTTTTGTTACGCAGACGATGCATAAAAACAGTAATGATTACATAAACTAAAGTTCTCACTAACGATAATTTATTCGTGAATCCCATGGGTTCAAGACTTTCAAAGGCAAAGCTGTTACCACTTGGTGTACTGGTAAATGAAAACAATTCCAAAACTATGCCACTGTAAGTCAACATAATTAATATAGGCTTCAAAATTTAACACATTAGTTCGTGAGAGTTTCACTTTGAGACATTTCTTTCAAGACTGTTTATCATGGCCCACGTTAGTTTAACTGGCACCCTAGGCAGAAATTAAGGCCGCACCCCTATTTACACTATACTACCTGTCCTTAAAGCTCTGAGTGATTAATAAAATTAATTGATTTAAACGTACAATCAAGTTTTTCTTTGCTTCCATTGTAGATGTACACATTAGACACGATAATTTGAAACACTTTCTATACTGATAGCAGTAAGACACATATTGTGGATTTTACGACCCCAAGCTTATTCATAATTTTATTTTCATGAAAAGGACTTCTTCCTGTAAAACAGTTCCAATATTTTATTTTCCTTTTCAATGTAATCCAAATTACATGAATAATTTGTCGTTAATTGAAATGGCAAACAACGAGATTGGTTTACAGGCCCATTACCTTTGGAAGATATTCCGCTCTTTATTCCGTATTTTATATGGCTTAACTTTTATGGAAACAAGGAAAGTAACCCAACAACCTGTTTTATTTGAACCTTGAATTATGAGGCAATCATCGTATAATTATCTTATGTAGGTATTCAACATACTATACACTTTGAAATAAAATGTCAGACTAGAATAATTTCGGCTGAATATTATGCTACTTAATTAAACACTTAACATCTAATTCAGGACACGTTATTCAACATCAAACACGTTGATCCTGGTAAACGATGATTAAGATACTTATCATCACTTGAATTAGATATAAAATCACGTTAACTGCAAATGTTGTTCTTTTCCACATTCCTCTTAATTTGTCTAATGCGGATCAAAATCACTCCAGATCTATCCTTTGCCTCCCACAAGTCGTTGCCCAACTAATGAGATTTGATATTGAACGAAAAGTTTGTTGGACAGCGACTTAAGGAAAAATTAAGAGAAATGTGGGGGGAAAATCTGCATTTAACTTGATTTTTATGACAATTGTTAGGTCTATTGGTTTACGACAGTTGTTAGGCCTATTGGTTTCCAATAGTTCGCCGGCTGCATCTTCAAATGATGGTTTGATTGTTTTATGTTTACGGATTCTTAACATCATTCAATGAATTTCAAAAGCATGATCAGCAGCAGTAGATAAATAAAGGAGGAAGACTAATATAAAAAAATAAAACTTGTTACGGTATTTTTAGTTTGTTGTTTAGATGACTTAAAAGTTGACTTGGCTTTCTGACAGCCTAACAGTATCGACCACATGAAGCGACCTCTGTCTTTATAAGGACCGAAAAATATTTATTATTGCTTTAAAGGCGAACTTTAATGTTATAATTTTTTAGCTTTCAGTAAAAAAGTGTTTACAAATCAAAGTGTTTTTTTTTATCAAAACCTTCACTTCCCTGCTCAATATACCATATGTTTAAAACATGAGAAAGAAAACAGGATTTTTTCCACACGGTTGTATAAACCTGGTCATTAGTATTTACTAAAAATTTGACAAATAAAGATATTTACATAACAATATATTCTGATTTTTGCCTTTGTTTCATTCCAGTGCCTTCACGCAGACATTTAATAACTTTCACGTGTTAAGACGTAGCGTTAGAATTTAGTTTTATAATCCATAGTTTTACCTGATCTTTTACAATAGTTTGTTAATGAAACGAAAGATATTCATAATTCTTTTATTCTAAATGTGGTATTTAAAATTACTTTAACAAACATTGGAACTGTATTAAGCTTGGCGTTGTATTCCATTAAAGTAGGCTATCGTTCTCATTGTGTGATTATATATATATGTACTAAAAAATTCAGTTTTTCGTTTATGGTTGGTTTCCAGGCTGACGTAGAAGCAGTGGCTTTATTTTTAACGGATGACCACACTTTCCAAGTAATTGAAGACTCTGACTGGAAAAACATTAATAAATCTGTTCTCATATCAACTGATCGTGACCTGACCTCCAGACTTCGCAAAACTCTATCTACCAGCCTTATTTCAGTACTGCATAGTGTCTTATTTCTTTGGCCATCTAGTGGTGACGTTCCAGAGTTTCAGACGTACTTCAGAAACATCATACAAGAAAATTCCGTGTCCCCACATCCTCTCGTGCAAGAGTTATGGCATTCGATGATGAAAAGCTCTGGTCAAGAATTTGTACATAAAGGTTTCGTATTTCCTAAGGAGATGAAAGCCTTCGCTCTGCCATCTACCGGCAAGGTATCATCAGGCTATCCAGTCTTCAACACTATTAAGGCGGTATGGACGCTAGCCCTTGGACTGAAGACGGCTCAACAACGGCAGTGTCGACCGGGTAGCGACTGTTTCTTAACGCAGACGAACGCTCTTGGTCCCGCAGTGTTACAAGCACTGCAGAACAATCAAAATGTGTTGTTAGAAACCCCGGTAACGTTCAAGGAAGGCAAGCAGCTGATGTTTAACGATGTTTTTCCTAACAACGGACAGGTGATTCTGACATCTGTTTCTGGCGATGGTGTTTTCAGAGAGGTTAGTGTCTGTTTCTGTCTTGCTAAATGAAAAAAAAAACTTTTATAAACAGCTGTGGTCTTCCACTCTAAATAACAACCGTACTGTTATATATCTTGTAAGTTACACAACTGAGAGGTTAGCGTGCTGAGTTGCAGATGGAAAAATCCAAGGCTCGAGCCATGATATGCGGTTGAACACGTTTCACATTTTCAGCTGTGAACTTCCTCTCAAGATAGGAGCCACGCTCTTATGTATCTCAGCAATTACACAGCTATGGGTTAGTGTGCTGAACTACAGTAGGAAGGTCCAAGGCTCGAGCCGCCATATTTCAGCTGTGAACTTCCACTGTAGATAACAGACATACTGTTATGCGCCTCAGAAATTACACTGCTAGAGGCTAGAATGCTGAGTTACACATAGAAAGGTCCAAGGTTCAAGTCATGATATTTCGCTGAACACGCTCCACATTTTCAACTATGAAGGTGTTATAACTGTGACTGTTAACCCATTGACTGCGGCTGCTCTATACGCGCTCGGAATTTTTGCAAGCCGTACACCGTATACGGCACACTCGCATTCAACTGCCGGAGGTGGACCGTACCCCATACGGTGAATCAACAGTCAATAGGCTAATCTGCTATTCGGTTAAGAGTAGCCGTTCAAGTGGAGGGTGCTTCTGACTAATAGCTTTCTTAATCAGCAGTTCTAAACTGGGGATGACTATGTTGAATCTTATGGGTCTCTGGCGTGGCCGAATAGCCCATGTCATTCGGGTTGAAAAGTCCAGATACCGAAATTACAACCGTTTTTGCGTATATCGCCCTGTAACACAAAATTTTTAAGTACATTAACAATACAATTTAAAATTAAACTACGTAGTTTATATACATCGTCATGTAACTTAAATCCTTGCAATACGTGCAGGTCAATTTGTAACCGTATAATATATACGTATGTGTAACTGGTTTAGTGAAATACATAGCTTTTATATTTTACAGTAAAATGATAAGTTTATTCTATGTTTTTTTAGATGCATAGCTGCATAATGGTCTATCTGCGCTATGCAACCACGGGGATCGAATCCGGAAGTTTAGCGCTTGGCCATAAAAGGGAGGGCAGGGAATTTAATTCAGTACGTCATCTCGTATTGTTGGCTAAATGTAATCAAACATATAAAGTTTAGAGCACTTTCCTTGTAACCATCTTTAAAAAAAGTAGTAATAATTTATTGCACTGAACAAACCCGTGTGTGTCTCTCTGTCCAACATCATGTTTAGTAATAATTTATTGCACTGAACAAACCCGTGTGTGTCTCTCTGTCCAACATCATGTTTAGTAATAATTTATTGCACTGAACAAACCCGTGTGTGTCTCTCTGTCCAACATCATGTTTAGTAATAATTTATTGCACTGAACAAACCCGTGTGTGTTTCTCTGTCCAACATCATGTTTAGCAATAATTTATTGCACTGAACAAACCCGTGTGTCTCTGTCCAACATCATGTTTCTTAGTACGTAATGGAAGTTTGTTTTTTTTTCGTTGTTGTTGTTGTTGTTGTTTGTTTTTCTGCTACAACCTGGTTAGACAACTATAGAACCTGTATCAGGCCTAAACTCCGAATAATCTGACGTATCTTATAATGATCGAAACGCTTGAAACTGATTGGTTGCTTCCCCCCCCCAAAAAAAAACGTAATAATGATTTCTCAATATAATTTTGTCAGCGTAGCCTAACTGTTAAGTTTCCACTGTACTGTTTTATATTTCAAATATTTTAGAGTAAGTAAGTTATTTCTTTAAAATGTAGCTGCTGTGTTTTGTCACTGTTTTATTTTGTTTTACTCTTAGGACACGGATGAAGCTGTGGGTGAGGAATACTATGATATTTTGATACTGTACTTTTATAAATTTTATATTTCCTAGGTTGGGAGATACAGCGACAAAACAGGGCTAATCACCCACAAGATGACGGTACTGCAGCACCGAAAAGCCACTACCCCCAACTACTACAGCCAACAGATACCACCCGCCAGCCTCAGGTCTAGCGCTCTCACCATGAATCCTAAGCACGAGCTGAGCAGTCTTCCCACCACCAGTAAAAAACAATTATCAAGCGTGCTTGTCACTAACATACAGAACACCAGCTTTGGCGCGTGGATAAATAGAACTTGGTGCCTCGTCACCATCGCGTTTTCTGGAGCCGGCGTTTTAGTGACTCTCTATGTCTTAGTTTTTCTGCTAATGAAATTTTGTGACAAGACAGTAAAGAAGAACACCATCGTAATCTCCATGTTCCAACTTTTAGCTCTAATAACAATGTACGTAGGAGCTTTGCTATTCACTTTCCAACCTTCGTTTGCTATGTGTGGTGCGCGCAAGGTTGTCCACAATGTTGCCTATGCATTCAATTATGGATGTCTTCTCCTTCGAGCCATGAGTCTTCGATCCCAGAAGACCCTGGGGCTTGGAGGCAGCATCAGCCAGGTCAATCAGATGTTGACACTGCTATTTGTAGTAGGAGCACAGGTGGCGCTAGAAGTTCAGTGGTGGATTCTTCGTCCGCCAGGAGTCGTATTTGAACCTGGCGAACTCTTGGAATGTTCTATCTCAAGAGGTGATTTTCTAGTTTGTCAATCCTACATAATCTTCCTTCTAGTGGTGGCTGTGTTGATGGCCTTTTTCTCACGCAACACTCCGTACTGTTACCGCGAAGGGTACTGTGTTACAGTTACAAGCTTACTCTGTTTGACAGTGTTCTTTGTCTGGGTTGTGGCCTTTGGCCTCTTACCTAAAGATGAAGATCGAGGTTTCTCGGCGAGTGTGGCCCAAATATCAACGGCCACGGTTATCTTGGGCGGTATATTTGGCCCCCAACTGTACAGCTTACATAAGTATGGTAAAAATATTCACAAGCCACTGTCTTACGCCGACTCCCTGTCAACCGTGTTTACTATGTTTAAAGACATAGACAGCGTGTCTGGGGGGAGCACATCGTCCTTGAGAGGGAAGAAGTCCGCAAAAACTTTGGAATCACCTTACTCTGGTGAAGTGATCCAAAATCCCCTCTACGATGAATTAAACTCGGCTTATCCTTGACAGAACGCTCTTGTTGAGTGTTTTTATTTATTGAATAATCAGGTCGTTATGGCAAGTGAATATGAAGAAACGGTGCTTGTTGGTGACGTTTTCTGTTAGTATGTATTTGGGAATGTTACCTGTCAAGGTATTAGGATATCATTTTGGAGTTTTTAGTATAGGATAAACCACTAAACTGTAAGTATCTTCACGTTTTCTACAGATACACGTGGACAAAGCAGTAGATTGAAGTGTAATTATATTCTTCCGTGATTGCTTTACACGCATTGTATAGCTATGTGATTAATCACCTCCGTTTGTAATATACACCAGTATAAAGAATGCATTAAGCAATAGTGATTACTTAATAGAGTTTGCTGCTTTTATTTTATTAACTTTACCAAGAAAGACGAATTTGTTGGGTTTTTTCTCAAACATGGAAACCAAACCCTTTTAGTACTCGTTTTATTTTTTTGAGAATATTATAAGCTCAGACTCAATTGCTGAACAGGAAAACCTATATTAATATTAACTCAGACTCAAATGCTGAACGGGAAAATCTATATTAATATTAACTCAGACTCAAATGCTGAACAGGAAAACATATGTTAATATTAACTCAGACTCAATTGCTGAACAGGAAAACCTATATTGATATTAACTCAGACTCAATTGCTGAACAGGAAAACCTATATTAATATTAACTCAGACTCAATTGCTGAACATGAAAACCTATATTAATATTAACTCAGACTCAATTGCTGAACAGGAAACCCTATATTAATATTAACCATTTTTTTATGTTTACGAATTCAAAAGTTGTCTTGGAATTTTTTTATTATGTTTATTATACAATTGTGTTATGATAGATGTGTTGGAAATAAAGTTCTACAAAATAAATCTCATTTTTGTTTGTTTCGTGTTGTTGCTTTTTGCGTTTTCAAACAACACTTTCATACTACTCTGCCCTCTGTTGGTGTAAAAACAGTACTTTTCGTGTTACTTCTCTACTAAATCGAGCGCACTCGTCCCCCGGTGGGACAGCGGTAAGTCTTCGGATTTACAATGCTAAAATAGGGGATTCGATACCCGCGGTGGACACAGCAGATAGCCCGATGTGGCTTTGTTATAAGAAAACACACATACACACACAGTCGAGCGCACTCGATGACAGTGTATATATGTGAAACTTCGAATATTTATAAAAAATATCATTGGAATTAATTTCAGTTATTAAGCCTTTGTATTCAGCACACTATTTGTGTCTAAGTTCACATTTTAATGGTTACTGTAAGAAACCTCTTTATTGTATGCTAAACTCATGTCTGAATGCACGGTTCCGCAAATTAAGACATTCTACTAACTAAATCTTGATGTCACATGAACTATTTGATAAGAATGGTTTTGTCAATTCAAACTTTCTAAGCTGTAATTCAACAAGACTTCGACCAAATCCCAGAGTCGTTGTCAGGTCAACTGAACAACTTTGAAAAACACGTTACTGCAGAACGCGAATCCTCTGATCACGTGACGTGCATACGACAATTCGAAAAGAAGAAGAAAAAAAAGAGTTCAAAAATAGGTTTAATATTCGTAAAAGGAATATATATGCTTCACAGAGACCTGGCCTCTTTTTTAAAAATTAAATGGAGTTTAACGAATATATTAATAAATAGATTGTCTATGAACTATATATATTATACGTAAGGTCGTGAGTGAGTAAAGTCAATATGTAGTCTTGTGATTATAGTTACTCTTGTTTCAAAGTATCTCAATTAATTAGTTTCCAACAGGACCAATATATCTAATTCATTGTTTCTATTCAGGCCAAATCCGAGTCAACAACGATGTTTCTTAATGTAAATATTTTATCTTGTTGTTGTTGTTGTTTGTTATTAAGCACAAATCTACACAAATCTGTGCTCTGCCCACCACGGGTATCGAAACCCGGTTTCTAGCAATATAAGTCCGCAGACATACCACTGTGCCATTGGGGGGGGGGCAATGTTTTATCTTTCTACGACATAAATTACAATCTTTATCTATGATTTTCACCTGGAGAATGTCGAATTCAAGATGATATTCAAAGTTTTTAGTCCCCCAGTGTCACAGCGGTATGTCTTCGGAGTTACAACAATAGAAACCGGGTTTCGATACCCGTGGGGAGCAGAGCACAGATATCTCACGGTGTAGCTTTGTGCTTAACTACAAACATACAACTCAAACTTTCTAAGCTGTAACTCAACTAGCCTATGGCACTGACCGAAAGGCCTCGTCGGTAGTGGCATACAACAAAGAAGGTATAGTTGATGTAATATTATACACTCTTCCTGCTAGAGGTCTGGTATTATTTGAGATTATCCTTTTTTATTTTTATTTTTTTGAAATCCCTTAAACGAACATTGTTGTTATTAAACAAGATGGAGGTAGTGGCGTAGTTATACCAAACAAATGCAAGTGAAGGTAGTGGCGTAGTTATACCAAACAAATGCAAGTGAAGGTAGTGGCGTAGTTATACCAAACAAATGCAAGTGAAGGTAGTGGCGTAGTTATACCAAACAAATGCAAGTGAAGGTAGTGGCGTAGTTATACCAAACAAATGCAAGTGAAGGTAGTGGCGTAGTTATACTAAACAAATGCAAGTGAAGGTAGTGGCGTAGTTATACCAAACAAATGCAAGTATGTTCATAAAATGAGTTCTATTCTTGGTGACCACAAAATAATTACATCTTTAAATTCAAGCTAACCATAAAACGTGAAGACAATCTACAACATACTTTAATGGATTTTAAGATGATAACCTTGTAATATTACACATATGCAGTAAGATCTGGACTAGCTGTTAATTACACTCGTGTAATTCTGGTTGGTAAGTTTACGTTTTCACTAATTGTCTTAAAATAACCCAATGTTTTAGTCCTCTACCAGTTGCTAAGTGTAACCCGGTTTTTACTTCTCACTCACTTCACTTCATCACATCATTATTGGCTAAATGCGCGCGTGTTTCATTTCCCTACTAGTTGCTAAGTGTAACTTGGTTTTACTTCTCACTCACTTCGCTTCATCACATCATTATTGGCTAAATGCGCGTGTGTTTTATTTCCCTACTAGTTGCTAAGTGTAACTTGGTTTTTACTTCTCACTCACTTCGCTTCGTCACATCATTATTGGCTAAATGCGCGTGTGTTTTATTTCCTACTAGTTGCTAGGTGTAACTTGGTTTTTACTTCTCACTCACTCACTTCATCACATCATTATTGGCTAAATGCGCGTGTGTTTTATTTCCCTACTAGTTGCTAAGTATAACTTGGCTTTTACTGCTTGCTCACTTCGCTTCATCACATCATTATTGGCTAAATGCACGGCAAGCAGTAAACGCTAAGTTAACTTAGCAACTAGTAGGGAAATAAAACACAAAAACACACGCGCATTTAGCCAATAATGATGTGATGAAGCGAAGTGAATTTCCCTACTAGTTGCTAGGTATAACTTGGCTTTTACTACTTGCTCACTTCGCTTCATCACATCATTATTGGCTAAATGCACGTGTGTTTTATTTCCCTACTAGTTGCTAGGTATAACTTGGCTTTTACTACTTGGCTTCATCACATCATTATTGGCTAAATGCACGTGTGTTTTATTTCCGTACTAGTTGCTAGGTATAACTTGGCTTTTACTACTTGCTCACTTCGCTTCATCACATCATTATTGGCTAAATGCGCGTGCGTTTAATTCCCTACTAGTTGCTAAGATCACTGAAACTCTCTTTTATATTGTTTCATCTAATACTAAACATTAATTTCATCAGTAAATAGTTTTAATGTGTTTAACATGAAATCTGTAATGTAACAAAAAAACAGGTTCATAGATAGTTACAACCATTAATCTCAGCTTGAAGATTCATGTGTGTACCAAACCTTACATTAATAATAGCAGTTTCTGGTATTGTTTTAAATAATCATATAACTAATTCCACATGTTTAGCTGTCTGACTGACTAACAAATTAGGACACAGGTATGTCATGAAATCTCGTATCACAAACATACGGGTTCCTTGTCCTCTATCGACGAACATGTATCAGTGCTTCTTCTACTTAAAAAGAGCTTCAAAAATAATAAAACACTGATAACAGAGACTTTAAAAAGCAATATCGAGAAAGAACTGCTACCTTTGAAGTGTTTTTTTGTTTGTTCCTATTCAATCTTGAAAAAGAGAATAAATATTACCTCTCCCAGATATGATTCCATTCGTTTTGGTAGAAATGAATTATATTGTAGTCTTGCATACACAAAATTTGGACCAATTTTTGTTATACTAATTATCTACTAATAATCACGTGATGAGAATGCCAAGGATTTGATTGGTTTTAAGTTCTAGAGAAAATGTATGTCGTTGATTTATGTCGTAGAAAGATAAAACATTGACCCCCCCCCCAGTGGTATGTCTGCGGACTTATACTGCTAGAAACCGGGTTTCGATACCCGTGGTGGGCAGAGCACAGATAGCCCTTTGTGTGGCTTTGTGCTTAATTACAAACAACAACAACAAGATAAAATATTTACATTAAGAAACATCGTTGTAGACTCGGTTTTGGCCTGAATAGAAACAATGAATTAGATATATTGGTCCTGTTGGAAACTAATTAATTGAGATACTTTGAAACAAGAGTAACTATAATCACAAGACTACATATTGACTTTACTCACTCACGACCTTACGTATAATATATATAGTTCATAGACAATCTATTTATTAATATATTTATTAAACTCCATTTAATTTCTAAAAAGAGGCCAGGTCTCTGTGAAGCATATATATTCCTTTTACGAATATTAAACCTATTTTTAGAACTATTTTTCTTCCAGATTGTCGTATGCACGTCACGTGATCTGAGGACTCGCGTTCTGCTGTAACGTGTTTTTCATAGTTGTTCAGTTGACCTGACAACGGCTCTGGTCGAAGTCTTGTTTATCAAATAAAACAGTTTGAACGTGAAAATCAACTAGTTTCCCTGTGCATCAGTTATCACTTATATCCACGTATTAAGGATAACATTCCAGGAATACTTTTACTCAAAGTTTCTGTTCCCAAACATACTATTCGCGCGCCTTATTTCCACGGTTTCCTATTTGGAAAATTGCTCAAATTACTTTTCCGAACTTACTATCCACATTGTTTTGCCTTTACTCAAGTTTCTTGTTTCGGAGATTACATTCCACAGACCTCCTATACCGAATTTTCCCGTTTCAAATATCACAGTGATTACACCTTATTTTACCTATAACTTGTCCATTTCTAAGATGACAACCGATACGAAGCCCACTTGAACACGAGTTTAAATAATACTTTACACTGGCTTTAATTCGTAAAAAATCATTAGAGTCTGTGTTTCGTTTGTTTGTAATTCAGCACAAAGCTACACCGTGAGATATCTGTGCTCTGCTCATCACAGGTATCGAAACCCGGTTTCTAGTGTTGTAACATACCGCTGTGCCACTGGGGGACTGGAAACTTTGAATATCATCTTGAATTCGATATTCTCCAGGTGATAATCATAGATAAAGATTGTCGTTATATTCAGATTCCTGTTTTCAAATTTACTGTCCGTATACCTTATTTTATCTATATTTCCTGTTTCATAGAATATTAGATTGTTTGTTTTACTTTTTACTCACATATATTTTACTTTTATCTAAATTTCCCTTCTCAAAAATGCCATAGATATTCATACCACTTTTACTAGTATAAACAATGTAAAATGGGAAGCTTGGATAAAATGAAGGTACATTAGATGTGGAAACTAAAGTAACAATAATATAGGTTGTATTCGCGTAAGCCTAAACAAGGTCTATCTGTGCCAGTCGCTCTAATTTGAACTGATAGAGTAGAGGGAAGCCAAGTCTTGAGTTATTCTCCTCGAATAGTAGGATTTAACAGTCACTCTTGTAGCACGCCCATACCCCTCAAAGTTTAAGGCAATAGAACGCGAACCAAGAATCTTCGGATTCACTGACCGATTCGCCAACCACTGGGCCGTACGTACAATATTCTTGGAAATGGGGGTCCGAAATTAAAATAGTAAAATCGAAGTATTCTTGGAATTTGGAGACTATAATTACAAGGTATATAGATCGTGTTTTGTAATATTTGTTTGTTGTGAATTTCGTGCAAAGCGTCCCTAATTTCGCAGTGTAAGACTAGAGGGAAGGCAGCTAGTCATCATCACCCACCGCCAACTCTTAGGCTACTCTTTTACCAACGAATAGTGGGATTTGTCGTCTCATTATAACGCCCTAACGGCTGAAAGTGCGAGTATGTTTGGTGGGACGGGGATTCGAACCTGCGACCCCTCAGCCCTAACCACCTGGCCGTGCCGGGGCCCAGTATAAATGAAGCGTTAGTTACAAGAACAAACTATTTTGTTCTTGTTTTTCACCTTAAGCAAACCTCCAATCTATTAGCAGAGTGGAATGATTTATTGTAGTTCCGCAAGTCGTGATGATTGAGTATTCGGCTCACTTCACTGAACCAACTACATATGAATATCCACCGTAGCTTTAACTGCAACAGAACCTTCGCTGGTCCCGAAACTCGTCACAATCATTCTAATAACTAATGATCATAATATAACAACTGGTGATCATAATATAACAACTGATGATCATAATATAATAACTGATGATCATAATATAATAACTGATGATCATAATATAATAACTGATGATCATAATATAACAACTGATGATCATAATATAATAACTGATGATCATAATATAACAACTGATGATCATAATATAATAACTGATGATCATAATATAACAACTGATGATCATAATATAATAACTGATGATCATAATATAACACCTGATGATCATAATATAATAACTGATGATCATAATGTAATAACTGATGATCATAATATAACAACTGATGATCATAACATAACAACTGATGATCGTTGTAGTGAAGTAGTTGTTTTCCATTCCTAAAATACACCCTACAGAATGGTTTTGAATTTTTTTCCATTAATATCAACTAGAAAACCTTATATTTTTCTTGCTTTGCTTCAAACCAGTTTTGTTGTTGTTGTTTTATTTTCTCCATTTAATTTCGACTTTAACCTTTACTCTGAAATTTCCAGGTACCTAAAAATGTAATCAGATAGTCTTACTGCGATCTTATTTTTTAGTGATATTATGAGAGTTTATTTATATATGTTTACAATTCAAAACTTATTTCTCCTCCATCACAGTTTAAGTCTTGCAATTTTAAGTAAACACTCGCAGAAAACGCTTATAATTAATAGCATTACCATGCGCCTTAGTATCGGGGTGGGGTGGGGGAAAAAAAGGGTAACTTGAAAGCAGCGACACCTGTTGGGAAAAAAGGGTAACTTGAAAGCAGCGACACCTGTTGGAAAAAAGGGTAACTTGAAAGCAGCGACACCTGTTGGAAAAAAATGTATTATGAAACCCTTAAGTTTTGTTTGTTTTTTAACAACGTTGTGACTTTTGTTAACCTTACCTCCCCAGTTTTGAACTTCTTGATTTTATCATAGTTTGTAAAATTTTCAAGATCTAAAGAGCTGTTTTCCTTTCTCTATTGACGCTTTCCAATTTTATCTGTCTCCTTTCAACCTCCTACTTATTCTCCTGTCTTTGAGTTCACTTTTATTCTTTTACTCCTTCGTGTTGACGTTTACAGCTTAAGGAATCTGTTTACCTCCAATACCCTAGTCACGTGGGATATACACACCCTTTCGATCACTTCTCGAGGCCAAAAAAATAAATTCTGCAGTAATATGCATAATTTCAAGTACTAAAACTCAAAAGTTATAATATCGAATGTGTTCTGTTTAAAGAATATAAACACGTTAGCTTTATAGCCTAGCACGGTTAAAACAGATGATTTACAATGAAATTTACAACAGTTAAGAACATGAACACAAATCAGAATGTACAAATGAAAAAACACATAATTACCACCAAAAACCAGGTTTATAAACTTAAGACTTGACATGAAAAAAAAGGATAAACATATACCAGGACTGGACTTACTTGATTATATACATTTAAAACTTTTGTTTGTTTGTTCTTAATCACAAAGTTACATAATGGACTATCCATATTGTACCCAACCACGGGTATCGAAACTCGGTTTTCAGCGTTATAAACCTTTAGATTTACCGCTGAACCACTGGAACAAACACTGTCTTTTCCTGTCGTAGTTGGTAGTCTATATGATCGCCTAAGCCTAACTATTAGCAAGTTACATTTTTGCTACTACGTTCTATCATGTTTTATCTTACTTTTCGAATGTTAATTAGCTGTCGTCTTCAGAAATGTCCAGATAATGTCTACGTCAGAGGCTGATGTACTGCCCGATCGTCTGGGAGCACGTTATATTTCAGTGTTTGTTGACTTAGCTATTTTCTTGACTAACTTAACTAAACTTTAACTATGAGCTATGCACAATGTTTGTTGTCAAAGGTTAAACTAAGTTATTTTTCAGGACAGATGAAAAAGTGAATTATACCAGGGTTAACAGTGCAGTAACAGTTGAATGATACCAGGGTTAACAGTGCAGTAACAATATCGCTGAAGAGACCTTGTAAAAAATTCTGTAACATTCAGTTAGAAAACGTATTTTTAACTTAACGATAATCTGTTATCTGGATACAAGGCTAACTTGACCACGGGGCAGTAGCCACACCAAATCATCAAGCATGGAGTTTTACAATTTTCAATTTTTTCGAGAGTTTTTCTTAGATTCATTGTTATTTCTTTTATACTATTTACTAAAATATTTTCACCGATATGAATAGTGCATAGGGTATAGTCATATTTAAATGTCCAGTTTAATAGCGTGAGTGCTTGCGTGAATGGTGGTCGACTCGTGCCCTAAATCTCAAGTTTAAAAGGTCCTTCCTAATATTCCTGTCACCGAGAAGGTACGAACGATCGATGAACAAATACATTTCTACGATCGCTTTATTGCGTATAACACCTCACTTGTGAGGTGTCATGCGGACCACCCCCACAAAACGAAATGGACGTATACCGCGTCTCTCCACTCGCTCACCCTGCCGCCATGTTTTGCGGCACGCGCGCGCAGTACTGCAGAGATGTAGGCAGCTCAGGCGCCCGCCTTGTTTAGTTGCTAAGTGCTTAGTTTATAGAAGAAATAGGGTGCGTTTACTTGTTTCGTAGCTTACTAAACCGTTTGTTTGTTTGTTAGTATAAGCAATGGTTGAATTTTGTATATTAACCGTACAATATTAAAACATATACAGATATATGGGACAATTAGTTCAAAATATCCTAGTCAAAAGCCCTTTTTCGATCTGGCACCGCCCGTTAACGCGGAGAATCGATGAGGGAATATTACGTTATCAAGAATTCTCTTAGGCGTATATACGTTTTCCTTATCAACATCTGGCCTATTTTTAGCTAAATTATATATATATGAAATACGTACTTTTCAAATTCTTTCTTATACTAGACCTGCATCAAAGTTAATATTTCCCCCGTTCCTCCTTTTCGACCAATTTCTTGGTCAGCTGAGATAAATCAGCCATCTAGTACTCTATTCCCCATTGAATTTTACTCTGTAAGTATCACTAAGCAAAATTTGATATAATCGCGATGGGAAATGAATTAAGTCAGGAAGATGGACAGCAAACACATCCAGATCAAGAACTGGACAGGGCATCTCCCCAGTCAAGAGCTGTTCCGTCTACCGAAAGTTGTGGCGGCCTACAAAGTGCTCGACCTCTCCCCCCCAAGATCTGGTCAAAGACCAGTTGCTATTCAACCGCAGGTTGATCTGAGTAACCTTTCAGAAGAAGAACGAGCTAAGATTTTGTCGGTGATGGCGCTGGCTGAAGATATGGACAAAGACTTAACAAGACACAGGCGGTAACTAGAGTGTATTGTTTATTTAAATTTTTACTGTTTTTAAAATTCGCTACTTTAGAGTTATGCTTATCATTGCCTGTTACATCTAAAAAAACATGTTTGTGGTAATAATACACCTATTTTTATAGTTGTGCTAATATGACACCTATTTTTATAGTTGTGCTAATATGACACCTATTTTTATAGTTGTGCTAATACGACACCTATTTTTATAGTTGTGCTAATATGACACCTATTTTTATAGTTGTGCTAATAAGACACCTATTTTTATAGTTGTGGTAATAAGACACCTATTTTTTTAAGTTGTGCCAATAATACACCTATTTTTATAGTTGTGCTAATAAGACACCTATTTTTATAGTTGTGCTAATATGACACCTATTTTTTATAGTTGTGCTAATAAAACACCTATTTTTATAGTTGTGGTAATATGACACCTATTTTTTATAGTTTCAAAATCAATGAATAGTTCAAACAGTGCATTATTATTGTACGTTTAAAAGTGGACCTAACAAGCAGAAATAAATAAGCTACAATGTGCAAGTTTGCGTTACGTGCAGACATGTGCAAAGCAAACCATAAACTTTTTTATTTATCTTGTTAGCTCGACAAAGGTATAGATATTCCGAGAAGGGCATCAATGTCGCTAAACACTTTGCATTTCGTATATGCTTATTAGTTTGTTATACGTTTTTATAGCTTTACTGCTTCAATTATGATTAGCTTTAATGAGTATAAGACGGGCCCCCAGTGGTACAGCGGTATGTCTGCGGACTTACAACGCTAGAAACCGGGTTTCGATACTCGTGGTGGGCAGAGCACAGATAGCCCATTGTGTAGCTTTGCGCTTAACTACAAACAAACAGACTATAATACGCGGAAGTTTCGGAAGAGAAATTACGTCATCCCAAAAGAAGTTTCAATAAACTTAAATAAGATATTATTTCAGAAGATTATTCTGTTTTCACTAAGATTTCTTCATCTACCAACTTTTTTTTTCTGTTTTCAACATGATCTGTCCGATCATTAAGATTTGTTCCTATTTCTCAGTCTGATCTGTTCAATTACTCAAATTTATCCTCTTTTCTTCTTACAGCTTCACCTCTCCGATCACCTTTATTCTCGTTGAGTCTGATCTATTTAATACGTGTTCCGTTTGAGTTGTTCGCATAAGCTTTTGATGAAGTATATCAAGAGGGAGAATAGTAAAGAATAACTTTTGAAATAACCAATATTTAAACAACACGAATAGTAACAGGCGATCAGAGATAGAACAGATAGTCTTTAAAAGTAATTTATTTAATGTTATTTCTTTCAGTGTTACTTATTCATTTGAATTGTTTACACTTATGAGAGAGCATATCTGACGTAAGGGGTTTGAACTTCGTAGCGTCGTTTTTTCAAGGTAATCTGGTTTGTCTAATAACACAACTCCATTTTTTTTTTGTCAGGGCGTGTTACGATTATGGTTGGATTGTATGAAAGCTCCTTGAGAGCTGAAAATTATCCCTTCTTAAGGAATGACGAGAATAATTATGATCGTGAAATAATGAAAACGCAAGGGTTTTGAATTTAGTCTTAAATTAGTCTTGGGTTAGAGTAGGATTGGTCATGTTTAGGATTACTAGGAGTATTGTTAGCTTAGTATATGGATTTAGGAGTAACCCAAATAATTAACTTTGGCTAAACCTCGTGATATATTACTGAGATTAAAGCCCAAAGTATTGTTCATTTTTAATGGGTATATTTGCAGACGTTTCTTCATTGTTCATTTTTAATGGGTATATTTGCAAACGTTTCTTGTTCTACATTTTTCATTTTTAATGGGTATATTTGCAGACGTTTCTTGTTCTTCATTGTTCATTTTTAATGGATATATTTGCAGACGTTTCTTCATTGTTCATTTTTAATGGATATATTTGCAGACGTTTCTTGTTCTACATTGTTCATTTTTAATGGATATATTTGCAGACGTTTCTTGTTCTA